TCCCTTGTACAAATGGGATATTGATAGGCCTTGCCCCCCCACCGCAGACCCTATTGCTGTTTCCCCAGTGAGTGGGTGTCTGAACGCGCAGGTGGACATACACATTGTCAGGGAGGCTGGAGCCCTTCCAGGGAGCGCAGAGATGCTCTCCGTGCCTAGCCCTGGCCACAAGGAGTTCCTTAGGGCAGGAGGAAGGGGGAAGAGGAGTCAGCATAGCTGGTCAGCAGCAGCAAAGTGGCCTTTAAATTGGATATGTGCCTGTCGCAGTACTTTGGATAATTACCTGTGCCTCCAAGCCTCCGTGGTTTGAGTGCTGAAGCTGTGCAGGATTGCCTTGGGTCTTGTCAGTGCCATGACTTGGGTTTTAACAATGTCAAGCCAGAGGCAAGTCATTGCCGTGGCGCATTTTTTCCAGGACCCAGATGTCCTGAGAGGCCTGGGCACCTTGGTCTTTTATAGCTCTTCTCAGCTCACAGCTCTGTGATATTATACTTATAAGAAAAGTTTGTCAGAGGCAGCATGGGGTGAACAAGCCTCGGAGTTTCCCGGCCAGCCACTAGAAGCCAGTATCCAATTCTCTCCAGGGAGAAGAATAGGCCCTCTGGTCCCAAACCAGGTCTGCTCTTGTATCAAGCACTCACATTTTTACTGTTCACATAAAGATCTGCATGCTTCAGTGCTCAATGCATTTATGCTTTTAACTGAATTATACTTGTATCAGGCCTTAATTTGGCCGCTGGGTACTTTATAAAGCAGGAGGGGTTTATTTAACAATAAGTGCTGAAAGGACTGAGTCACATTCAGTGCCAGTAGAAATGGGCACAAGTCCATTGAAGGCTGCCTTTAATGCTGCCCACTGTGCCTGTGCCTGGTTAATGTGTGTGAGCTCGTCCCTCTCTGGGAGGGATCTCTGTTTTTCACGTGTATGTTCTCAGCAGGAGGTGGTGGTTGGAACAGGATAGCACAACCTTGACCGCTTTGCACAACAACTTCCCTGCTGAGATGCTGACACTGAGGTTAGAAACCTCCGTATTTCAATTGAATCTCTCTTGTGCTGAATGCAGAAATCAATAAAATGCTTATGTCATTCATCAGCTGGCCAGGAATCTCCATGGCCTTTGTGAGATGGGAAAGGGCCGGAGTGGGTCGTTTTGCCAGTTGCAAATAGCTGTCAGACGGATCACTGCTTCGGCGTGCAGAGCACTGCGTGTTGCTTACTTCTGGTTTTGATCACACACATGATCCTGCCAGATGGTGGGGACCTCAGTTCCCATGGCTTGGAGGAAGAGGTCGGGGGGCTCAGCAAGATACAGGTCTGGAGACTATCCGCAGTCGAGCTCATACCTTCGGCTTGCTCTCCTTTACCCCTCGCAGTCAGTGGAGCTGTCTGGGGAGAACGTGAGGGTAGAGATTCACCTCGGCAGAGAGGGAAAAGAGGCAGAAGAGTGCTGAATTGCTATGAAGCTGATCAGCACCCAGCCAGATGTTTAGGGCCCTTTTTTGGACAGTAGTGAGGTGGGTAGTGGTGAGGTGAGCTGTTAATGCGCCTGACTCCTTGAATTGGAGGCCAGTTCCGATCCTACTGAAGATTAGGAGGAGGTAGAGAGCAGGATGGGGCCCAGAGCTGTGCTGGAGGATGAAGTTTTGCCTATCCCTGTGAAGAGTTTTATCTTTCCCCTCACTCTTCTAGGAATAAATCTGACTTCAGTGGTTCTTCGTCTGCATATCTTGCAGGGATGCTGTTTGCCTTGGCCTATTTCAACGTCTTTCATCATCTTTGCACAGCATCCCCCTGCTGCTCTTATGGTCCTTAATAGCAGCCCTGCAACTCCGCGTTCTGCACAGCTCACTTCCCTCTTTCATTACCTCTGCGTAATGGGGAGTGGGCCATTGGCAGCTTGGGGCCACGCATGCTGGGCAGAGTGGGCCAGCCAGCTTCCAGAAAGAATGCAATTACAAAGCTGAATTGTATTGCAGACCTGCTAAACAACTCCAGTATTTTCTCAGTGATCCTCCTGAGCAGACAGCATTTAGGAATGAGTTGGAGGGCTCTGCTAATGCAGCCGCCGGCATGATGCTGAGAGCTATCAAAGAGCATTCGCATAGAGGCTATTTTACCCTTGTCCTCTTGGTCCTGCTTCTGCTTCTCACCCACGTTGGCATCATCTTGCAATAAATAGTCCTGACTGGCCTTTCAGAGCAGACCCTAGTCTGTGTGCGCGGCCTGTGCTCTGCCGCTCACTTATCAGCCCTTGACTGCTGAACTAACAGGGAATTTGCAATGTTCCTCTCCAGTGCAGGGACAGTAGCTTTAGCCTCTTTTAAAACTGCCTGCATGAGCTCTGGCTCCAAAGAGGAGAGCCTGCCGAGCCTCCCTCCCCTGCCCGTGCCTGCTGGGGCTGGTCTCCTCTCCACGGGCCTTTCTGAGACTTTTGGCTTGTGCACCCGAGTGGCTACCCCAGGCCAGTCACAGATGCACAGATGCTCTGGCCTCTCCAGCAGCAGGGAGGGACCTCAGCACCATCGGCAGCATTCAGGGTCGCTCATGGCCCTTCTGTGGGACAGCGTTGTGCTGCTGTCCTCAGCGTACGGAGGAAAAGCGAGATGAGCAGGGGTCTGGTCTCATGACCACATTGGGTAGGGCTGGGGACGCGTTGCTGACAGTGATGCTGTCACACCCTCTGTGTGACCTTGGGACAATCGCTCAATACCCTTGTTCTTTTCCCTATCTGAAAAATGGGTTTA